TGCCTGATACGCAAAAGAAGCCAGATATATGTCCCCTAAAGTCTTACAGCTGTAAAGTAAATATCACAATAGAAAAGATATGTTGTGGATTTTAGAGTATTATTATCTTTTCTAGAAGTAAAAGCTATTTTAGGAAACGGGAAATTCAAAAATAGTGAAAATTGGGATAACCAAGTAAACCCAAATTTTCAATGTAGGTACAGTCTGTTCATGCAAAGACAAGTAAATAAAGCAGCACAAGTAGAATTTAGTTGGAAAATAATCCATTTGTAAAATTTTCATGTAGACATGCGTCCATAATAGGTGTAATGTAAAGTACGGCTGTTAACATGCAGCCCGAAGTTCAAATGTGTTATCCAACGACAATTATCAAGAACTGCCAATTGTTTCTTTGTTTTGTAAGTGCTTTGTTATACGTTGGACAAAGCCAAATATTTCTTCACTAGATTGTGCCGGTTGGGACGTCAACGGAATATTTCATAATACCATATGTGGACGTGCCAATTAGTGACTAATAAATTTAAATTGATTTATCAGGTTAATCTTAAGATTTATCATTTTATGTATACTTAGAGGAATTGCATTCCATCGAATTTATTTGTATAGTACGGCGAATTCGTGAAAAATGCCGAATTTTGTAACATGTTGATAATTATTCGCAAACCAGCATTGACGCATGTACAAGAATTAGAACAATAAATTGAAACTTTTGTAAGATAAATAGATAACCTTATCATTTCTTTAATATCAGAAAACATTTTCCTTTGTCAAATCTTAGTAAACATGTTTTGTTTATTTAATTACGATTACTGACAAATTGTTTTTTTAAATTTCTGCTAATTTTCGACGATTTTTGTGTTTTCCAGCCTTTTTTCATAAACATATACTCTGTTTGATGTTCTCATCAAAAGCTTTGCAATAAGAGATGTCTCAACAACATCTACCGAGAAAATGCGTTTAGAGACATTAGTTCTTATGAAGACGGTTATGTGCCCAGAAAGTATATTTCTAAATTCTTTAGAGTTAATAAAATAGGATTTTACTTTCATCTTCACGACAGTATATATACAGTTTTGGTTAAATCCCAAAAGGTTAATGTGGTAAAGCAAAATGCGGTAAAACAGAATGCGATTCAAACCTTTATACTGCATTTTGTGGCCAAAAATGCAGGTGTTTTTAAAAGAATAATTACTCAATACCGATTAGCGTTATCTCGGCAGGTTACACGAATTCTAGGCCATACTGTACATGCTTACGAAAACCTTCAAAATATGGTATCTCTTAAAAGTACTTACCTTAAAAGTGCTTTTTCGGACATTTTTTATATGCACCTGTCTATATGGGTCATGTTTGGGGAATCACGAAATATGCCAAATTTTCGGCCAGAAAACTCAACGCCCACAATTAAATGCACAAACGCATATGCCTTATATTAATTATAAATTTTTTTGTAACAAGTTACCTCTAGAAAAGCGCCTTAATCAGATATTTTGGCCTTGAATCTCAGCGTACTTTACGTTATTTGAGGGGAAATTCAAGACGAAAATGGGATATTCGGACCAATTTTTTGACTTTTCTGAAAATTGGAAATAAAACTTCTGCTGAAGATGAAGGTTTATTTGTATAAGTCTACGCTCCGTTATAAGAATCTAAAGGCACAACAGAGTGGCACCACATAAGCTATCCTTTTGTGCAAACTGATAAAGGTCTCTCCGTTCCAGTTCAATTTTCCGTATTCTCTCAGACTCCAGTTAACACAGAAAATGTTCGTATATTTTTTGCTTACGTGGTGGCAGAGATAATTGACGGCATTTCACGGGTGTTTATATTTATTCTTGATTATGGTGCTTATCTGCGATGTATTAAAGGAACCTACAACTGTAAGAACTTTATGACCAAGGTTCATGGCACAGTAGTGGAATTTTTTAATTTAAATTCACTATCGTTTTCCATTTGCCCTCTTTTTAATTATTGCATCTATCTGATTCTCATGAAGGCTAAACGAAATTCGGCTTTCTCTGAAAAGATATACTTTAAAGCCTTCTGATTTATATGAATGTTCTTTTATATTATAAAACGTGAAAACACAAATTTTTGGTTTTCAGGGTTTAATAGCGTAAAAAATATCTTCGATATGGAGAATATTTGCATTGTGCAAATTCTGTGCCTTTGTCATCTCCCATTTACTGACAGGAACTATTTTCCAGTACCACACTCTTAGATTTCGATTTCAATGCTTCAGGATTATGGCAGCTACTACATATGCTTGTTTATGGTTCTCATATTCGGGATGTCAAAAAATTCAAAGTTGCACAAGTTTATTACTTAATTGCATTCCACAAAACGCAGCAGATTTGCAATGCAGAGTTTTTCATACTGAATCCGCTATTCTCCTCCTGTAGAAAATGCGATTTCTCATATTGAATTTTCATTAAGGCAAGAAGAAACTTTCTGTTCTTTTAAAAGACATAGTTAAAAGCCTTTTGGCTTATATTAATGTTCCTTCATAGTAAAATACGCATACAGAAGACATTTTAATCTTGCATGTGGCCCACTTTGTCCTTCAGTAGGCTGAGCTGAATTGAATTATTTTCTAATAGAATAAACTTTGCGTCTCAATGCAATTCAATGAACAAAATAATCAACTTCAAACATGTGTTAAACTGTGGCCCTAAAATTCGATGATTACATTTAATGAGTTAGGCAACCTTTTGTCTATCTGTCAAAACTGATGAATGATTGACCCTTTATTCATCGGATTCTCTAAAGGTGAAAAGTACTTAAAACACAGGATCGGTAACACAATCTGCACGTTTATGGTGGCTGGGGAGGACTTCGGACCATTCTCACGTATGTGAAAATTACAAAATCTTAGCTAACTAATATTTTAATAATAAAGATTATTTATAAAATGGGATATAACAGAAAAGTTGACGGAAAATGTTGGTTTTTTTTCCAGCAAAATGTCTGCCCTGTGAAATCACCTCCCTCATGTCTGCTGTTTTCACTCTTCTGGCGTTTCTCTTGGGTATTGTTTGGATCATTGTATACGCCCAAGATCACGTACAGATGGCTCAATACAGTCAAGGCATCACGGAAATAATTAGCTCATTAGTAATCAGTACGTTCTCGCTGTCTTCCTTCTCCTTTATTTTCTGAAATCCCATTTACCGGAAATTATTCAATATTTAGGCGTTTTCATGGTGAAGGTATCCCGTTAAGTAAAATAATTAATTAGTTCCGGTAAGGGCTACTTGTATTAGAGCAAATGTAGGACGCGGAACTAGCGCATGTTAGTTAGCCTGCCTTGCGTCAAGAATCTAACGATAATGATAACATGAAAAAATACCATAAATATAATCGTAACCCTAGGCTTACCACAAAGATAAGCCATACAGTTAACACAAACCGTAGCTGTAACTTTTAACATAGAGTATGGCAAGTGCTGTAAGCAAAATTCTGCAATAAGCAAAAGACTCTTAATCACTCGTAAACCAACATCAAGTCGAGTAGAAATTCTGATCATCATGAAGACTAATATCAATCCTTTTCAGTCATTTGAGGATGCTGGCTATCTAACGAACTTTTTTCCTGACCCCTAACAAATAGTATATTCTGTAGAAATTGGCAACTTGAGACGTATGCATTTTTATCACTGATTTCGACAGCCTTTATAAATTCAATTATATTTTATAGAAAATATGCACGAAAATATTCCTTCTTGTACCCGTTTGGCAAAAAAGTACGCCTTCTTTAAATTTTATACTTAAAGTAAGCGTATCTTTCCGTTTAAAAAATTTCTAGTTTTGAGAGATTTTCATTCAAAATACATCGTATTCGTCACTTTATTTATGCTGCCCATAATGGATAGATTATGTGGCGTCTTCTTCAAACCGTAAACAAGAAGGTTCTCTACATTAAACTGGATATGCACAGCATGTCGTTGGATCTAGCAGTCGGTAGGTTTCGAAAATACTCGGCAATTTAGAAACGTTTTAAAACCGAAAGATACGCTTTCTTTAACTATGAAATGTAAAAAAGCGTAATTTGCTACCAAACGAGTACAAGAAGGAATATTTTCGTGCATTTTCACTATAAAGTATATTTTAATCTATAAAGGCTGTCAAAATCAGTGAAAGAAATGCATTTTTCTCTAGTTGCCATCTTTGCAGAATATACTTTTTTAGGGGTCAGGAAAAAATTTGTTAAAAGGCTGGCATCCTGAATTGATTGAATAGAATTGACACAAGGCTGCACGATGATCAGTATTACCATCCTACTTGATATTTCTATGCGATAGATTACCAGTATTTCGCAAAATGCGACATGTTGCTTGCAGCACTTACCATACTGTACTTGACCTAACCCTAACTCAGACCTTTACGCTCATTTTACTATAAGCCTCATTTCGGCCCTACACCCAATGTTTTTGGGATGAACCGCTAAACCACAGATAGTGTAGGTGGTTCCTGTTTCCGTGTCCTAATTAGGTGGCCATACATGTTATCCCTACCAAAAGCACAAATTCCTTCTTCTTGATTTCTCATCCATTTTTATAGAAAATTAATCTTAATTACGAAAGGATAATAAGATAGGCATCCACGACCTCGCAACAGTTTTTTTATGGAATTAGAATAAGAAAGCTGAAGAATTAATTGAAAATACTAACACTTTATTTGTTCTTGCAGACATCTGTCATTAAGACAATAATAAAAATTAGATAGGAAATCATAGCATTTCTTTTGTCTCGCGTTCAAGTTGAAAAAATTTTTTCTCCTCCTTTAGTTGCTCTTCAGATCTACCTATTTACGATTTGGAAAGGCGAATTTGACCATCCACCCGCTATGCCTCCGGTGAGTTCTATCATACACCTCGTTGTTTATTAGCTCAGCAGTAACATGAGATATATCGTAGCATCACGCGCTATTATGTCCTGGTCGGTATCAACATCTGCTGATCTCGTGTCCCACGTATGATTCTGAAAAGTTAACTAGAGCTCTTCAGAGTTTGATCTGCACGCTGGCTACTCGGTCTGTAATAGTAATCTCACGTTCAGCGCCATGATCTTTGAAATATCTGGGAGCAGAGCATTTAAGAGCATACGGCCAATCGTAGCGACGGCGACAGGTGTAAGGTGCGTTAACGGTACAAGTAGTTTAAGAAAGTAATCCGAGGCAGGAAGTGACGTGTTAGTAGAACGCACTGTCCGAGAAAAGGCTAGGGTAGCACAGGCACATTTCACGAATTGACATAAATGTTCTCACTCCAGTAGGAAAGAAGTAGACTTGTTCGACTGAATCGTAGCATTTCTTAATTTGTCGGAGATTTCGAACGGGTGTTGGAGTCTGTCGTCAGAGATGAAAGTGGTAAAAGAACAAGCAAAAGTTATAGGGAGAACGAACCGCTAAGGAACAAGTAACTCTAGTCTGAAACGAGAGCGCATGGCTCTGAATGCCCCTACCGGATCGATACGTCGATCGAAAAATTTTTTATCTGAGGTTCTGACTTCAATGCAATCACGGAATATCTTGTTTCTGACGTGAACGGTCATCTTCGTGGCTGTTAAGTTAAACTCGTGAATCGTTTTGTATTTGTCGGCAGCGTTCATCGGCCAAACGCCCCCATGCACGGCGGGATCATAAAATTTAAAAACTGTTTAAATTCCAGGGTAAAGTCGGCTGTAGTGTATAATCTCAGGAGAAGGAGACGCAAGCACTGGAACAAGAGTTTTATTGTCCTGACCATAGTGTAGAAACTGTACCTGCAATTTCACAGGCCAGAACGAACGCATGCTTGGAAAGTGCATACACCAACACAGGCTGACGGTATGCCGGCATGATCAATTATCGGAAGGGTCTGTGCACACATACATAGGGGGTCATGAATATAAAATTGTAACCACGAAGACAAACACCCGTGCATTAAGCACTATAAACCTTGATTGAAGAACCGTTTACAGTGACCATACATCCTATTTCTTTCCTGCTTGTATTTATATTTGTTCTGTGTGTGGAGATTCGTAGAGTCGATAACGTTAAGTTGAGCCATTTTGCTTTAACAGTCAGTCAGTCAGTTTATTGAAGGAAAGATAGGCGAACGCCTTTGCACTCCCTGTTGGTAACAAGATGATAGAGAATAAATTTATACAAAGAAAAATTTAAAATTTTCGTCGATTACATGTTCCGGGAAGACACCAGAGTCAAATCTTAATAAAATATGACAGACAAATATATGACTACTCGCAAATCGCGAGTAGTATAATTTGATGCATTGTATGTGATCAGTGGAAAAAACTCCTAGGCATGGCTCATAATTCAAAATGGAATGTCATTTGTGGTTTTTAGGAGAAATACTGTCGCTCGTGGGGGAAAGTGTGTGG